CTATACAATGTATTAACCTGGGACGTCGTCCTGGTACAGATACCCACCAATCACAGATTAACCGCTTGTGATAACGCACAGAAACATGCGCTGTGCAATGTGTTAGGCTCACCCTGAGCATGCACACTGCACCCTCTATACAATGTATTAACCTGGGACGTCGTCCTGGTACAGATACCCACCAATCACATATTAACCGTTCGTGATAACGCACAGAAACATGCGCTGTGCAATGTGTTAGGCACACCCTGAGCATGCACACTGCACCCTCTATACAATGTATTAACCTGGGACGTCGTCCTGGTACAGATACCCACCAATCACATATTAACCGTTCGTGATAACGCACAGAAACATGCGCTGTGCAATGTGTTAGGCACACCCTGAGCATGCGCACTGCACACTCTATACAATGTATTAACCTGGGACGTCGTCCTGGTACAGATACCCACCAATCACAGATTAACCGCTTGTGATAACGCACAGAAACATGCGCTGTGCAATGTGTTAGGCTCACCCTGAGCATGCACACTGCACCCTCTATACAATGTATTAACCTGGGACGTCGTCCTGGTACAGATACCCACCAATCACATATTAACCGTTCGTGATAACGCATTGCGAAACACGCGCTGTGCAAATGTAAGCGGCAGCCACACCCTGAGCATGACTGCACACCCTTATACACAATGTATTAACCTGGGACATCGGCCCTGGTACAGATACCCACCAATCACATATTAACCGGCTCGCGGATAAACGCGACAGAAACATGCTTGTGTAATGTGTTAGGCTCAATTTTGAGCATGCACACTGCACCCCTCTTATGCCAATGTATTAACCCGACGCTATCCCGGTACAGATACCCACCAATCACACATTAACCGCTCAAAGTGATAACGACAGAAACATGCGCGCCAGCAATGTGTTAGGCATCAATCTCCAGTACGCATCGCACCCTATACAATGTATTAACCTGGGATGTCGTCCTGGTACAGATACCCACCAATCACATATTAACCGCTCGTGATAACGCACAGAAACATGCGCTGTGTAATGTGTTAGGCTCACCCTGAGCATGCGCACTGCACCCTCTATACAATGTATTAACCTGGGATGTCGTCCTGGTACAGATACCCACCAATCACACATTAACCGCTCGTGATAATGCACAGAAACATGCGCTGTGTAATTTGTTAGGCTCACCCTGAGCATGCACACTGCACCCTCTATACAATGTATTAACCTGGGATGTCATCCTGGTACAGATACCCACCAATCACAGATTAACTGCTTGTGATAACGCACAGAAACATGCGCTGTGTAATGTGTTAGGCACACCCTGAGCATGCACACTGCACCCTCTATACAATGTATTAACCTGGGACGTCGTCCTGGTACAGATACCCACCAATCACAGATTAACCGCTTGTGATAACGCACAGAAACATGCGCTGTGCAATGTGTTAGGCACACCCTGAGCATGCACACTGCACCCTCTATACAATGTATTAACCTGGGACGTCGTCCTGGTACAGATACCCACCAATCACAGATTAACCGCTTGTGATAACGCACAGAAACATGCGCTGTGTAATGTGTTAGGCACACCCTGAGCATGCGCACTGCACCCTCTATACAATGTATTAACCTGGGATGTCGTCCTGGTACAGATACCCACCAATCACATATTAACCGCTCGTGATAATGCACAGAAACATGCGCTGTGTAATTTGTTAGGCTCACCCTGAGCATGCACACTGCACCCTCTATACAATGTATTAACCCGGGATGTCATCCTGGTACAGATACCCACCAATCACATATTAACCGCTCGTGATAATGCACAGAAACATGCGCTGTGTAATTTGTTAGGCACACCCTGAGCATGCGCACTGCACCCTCTATACAATGTATTAACCTGGGACGTCGTCCTGGTACAGATACCCACCAATCACATATTAACCGCTCGTGATAACGCACAGAAACATGCGCTGTGTAATGTGTTAGGCACACCCTGAGCATGCGCACTGCACCCTCTATACAATGTATTAACCTGGGATGTCGTCCTGGTACAGATACCCACCAATCACAGATTAACCGCCTGTGATAACGCACAGAAACATGCGCTGTGTAATGTGTTAGGCACACCCTGAGCATGCACACTGCACCCTCTATACCATGTATTAACCTGGGACGTCGTCCTGGTACAGATACCCACCAATCACAGATTAACCGCCTGTGATAACGCACAGAAACATGCGCTGTGTAATGTGTTAGGCACACCCTGAGCATGCACACTGCACCCTCTATACCATGTATTAACCTGGGATGTCGTCCTGGTACAGATACCCACCAATCACACATTAACCGCTCGTGATAATGCACAGAAACATGCGCTGTGTAATTTGTTAGGCTCACCCTGAGCATGCACACTGCACCCTCTATACAATGTATTAACCTGGGACGTCGTCCTGGTACAGATACCCACCAATTACAGATTAACCGCTTGTGATAACGCACAGAAACATGCGCTGTGTAATGTGTTAGGCACACCCTGAGCATGCGCACTGCACCCTCTATACAATGTATTAACCTGGGATGTCGTCCTGGTACAGATACCCACCAATCACATATTAACCGCTCGTGATAACGCACAGAAACATGCGCTGTGTAATGTGTTAGGCACACCCTGAGCATGCGCACTGCACCCTCTATACAATGTATTA